AACACGTTGTAAAGAATAGCAGTGTGCTCTCGTACCGCGGGAATTTGTCCTGCAGTTGTCTTGCGCGTACTTAAAATTCTAATACGCGGGGTCAAGTCGGATCGGAGAATAAAATAGGTCCCTATTCAAAATAGGCGTACTACTAGTTAGTAGTAGTAGCACATAAAGAAAATGAACTAAAAAATTGTAAACAAAGTAATATTTAATTTTTAATATTTAATAACATAAAAGTATAACAATGTCACATCATGGAGGTATGTTACATTCACCTTACTCAAGCTATAAAGTATAAATTTAAAAAAAAGCCTAGCCTAAATGAAAGAGAAGAATGTTGGGGAACTCTGATTCTTCTTGTAGCTTGTAGGGAGGGGCCTAGGCTAAACCAAGCCACACCTGCTATCACAATCAAACAATTAACTGTATGTACAGCGCTCGCAATTTTCCGCTAGGGTGGTTAATGTAAAAATTTACATGTTTCACACATGGCGATCGTGACAGATACCAAATGTCATACCCACACTAACTAACTAGGCTATACGAATGTGTGAATATTACAAAATATTAATCTTACTTTAGCTCCAATTTGGTTTCCGCACTGGCCGGCTTGAATATGTACGATTTCACGCATGATTGTGAATGTAGTTTTCGACAAATTCTAACCTCCAACAGACAAAATACCAAGCTCTCCGGCGTCTCCTCCTTTCAGTGGAGCTTTTGCCAGGTCGTTTTGCTCGTTATATAGGGCGTGTATACGCGATAAACCGTCGAATCACATGCGACGAAGATGTTGATGTCACATTGAAACTGATAATTATTGGTCGAGATGGGAAAGACGTTCGAATGTTTTTTATTTCTAAAAATGCGCTTGCGCATTGGTGGTGCCGTACGCGGTGCGAGATCGATAAAAAAATAAGGAGCAATTAAGGCCTTTGTCATATAAATCTTAATTATTTAAATATGTTTTTAATTACTAAATAATACAGTATTATTGAGAAACCTACTATGGATATGTTTGGCACTCGATCGTTTTTTATTGAAATTACAGTTACTCATAGCTGACCTCATAGCCTAGGCATAATGATGTTAAAAATCTCTTTTTATAGCACAGGCACACACTGATTGGCTATTATTTAAATGACAAGTTTAAGCATATAACTTAAAATGTATTGTGATCTGAAAATGATTTTAAAAAAATAAAAAATATTGAATTGAATGAAAAAAAAATATTACCCTGACTTTTATACTGAATAATAAATTTAAAACGCTTGCAGTGACTGGAAGTGTTTCTATCATTATTCGCTGGAAAAATTATCCAACTTGTATATTGTCCCCTGAAAATGAAAAAAAAAAAAAAGAAAAAAAAAAATCATTTTTGATTTTTATACTAAATAATAAAACGCTTGCAGTGACTGGAATTGTTTCTATCATTGTTCGCTGTAAAATTAAACATTTTTTTAATACACTTTCTTTGATCAAGTTGATAATTTGTATGTTACACAAAAATGAGCAAATTGAAAGCGATTTTTATGATTTTTTTTTTAAATTTTGCATAGGTCAATACACGAGTCACGACAATCTCCTCCAATCAGTCTGGAGTGGTGTACAACCAGGTGCTATATATACTGGGCTTACTAAAAAGAAATGAAAAGATCAATTCCATATTAAAATTGCTTAGTTATTAACTGATAATTAAAAATGTTACGGACCTTTGCTGCATTTCTTTTGCATAGACCCTCTTAATTAATGCTGATACAGTTCGCCCTCCATTTCGAGACCAGGCCCGCACACAGGGAGTTGCGAAGGGCCGGGGCGGATTTTGAAGGGGGATGGGGCGAGCCGGCAACGCCCCCACCCCCTCCCCCCTTCGAAGAAAAAAAAAGAAAGAAAGAAAATGGAAAAATTAATCGCTCAAAATGCCACATAGGTTATTTTCGGGCATCTATAACACTTCGCGGGGAATTCCCCCGGACCCCTTGGGGTAGTATTATCTCGATTGGCCCTATCCTCTCCTTTCTTTTGGACATCTCTGTCTTTGCCCACTCGTCGGACAGGCCCGGACCCCCTGTTTTCCGATGAACGACTAGGTCATCGGACCAAAAATTAAAAGAAAATAATAATCTGGCTATCTAAGTAACGCTATTTTGATTGCCAATCTCAACTATTGTGATCTAAAAGCATATTTAAGACCAAAGCCATGAAAACTCTCCCCATGAACCTAACAGGAATTATTTTACTCAGGCCGTCGACCGAGGCTTCGTCGTCGCCTTGGTTCGAACCCGGCCTTGTCGGCAAATTTCTGGCGCCACCGCTGTTTCCAGTAAGATCACATAGGCATAGGCTTATTTTATGCATTCTCGATTTGATATATTTGTGACGTCTCCCCATCTCATCCACGACGTAATCGCGCTTGTAATTATTCGTTCGTATTCGCAATTTTCATTAATTCCATTTAGGCCTACTCATATAACATTTAACTTTATGGTAAACTATAGTACTGTATTTTCAATGCCCAATAATATTATGGCCTTGTTTTCATTGCGCGGTAAAGGCCTACTGTACATATTTCTTTTACGTTTAAATCTAACAATTTACATTTGTTTAAACATCTATTGTATGTCCAATATGTAGTAATGTATTTTACTCGACTTCGATTTATTTACGAATCTTAGAGCCGAGTGCAATTTCCATAATTACCATAGTTATAAATTATTGTGTAAGCAAGGGTGTAAGATAGGCCCTCCATCTATGAAAATCCTTCTCTGAGCCACCTCTATTTCAAATTTCGCCACTGCAAACCTTGATATGTTATGAATCTTTCAACTCTACATTTCATTAAAAGGAAGGAGCTCCACTGAAAGGCCGTAGCTTCCGGGTACCACCCAGGGATCTGCTCTCTCGATCTCGCTGGAGCCTAGCCTTAGGCGGCCCCCAGCCAAAGCTACCCGGTGCCTACGCCGTTTTATTATATAATGCATAAAATTAGGTAAGATGAATGGCAACGCAAATCACAAGCAAATAATCCTGCAGTGAACCCATGTTTATAGAAATTAACAGTCAATTAACAGTGTTATGTGCACTTCATTGAGTTTTGCTTACTTGAATGGACTGAAATATACTTTGTTACTTCTTCCTCCATGACAAAAATATTTAATTTTCTTAGTAAAAATAAAATACAGTACCCAAGGATTTGAACGGAATAACCAAGACCAAGTCAAAATACCCAAGATCTTGGATAAATCCCCAAGCAGTGGTCACACTGAATACGGTATTGTGTCAATGCAACGGGCTTTGGACATTTCTAATGCAAAGTGTATTTCGCTATAATAATCTACAGGCTGTATTAGTAATCCATCTCAATTTAAGTACAGTACTATAACGTTAACCCCTAAAAACAAAACAGCTAAAAAAAAAAACATATGAATATGACCCAATTCAGGTAGTGCACGTCTTGCTTTGTTGATTCAAACGTTTCTTGGACGGGGACGCTCTTTTAGCAAAAAGTGAATGACTTCTGAATAATTATGTTGCGCCTCTTATTTGAAAAATTCTGGATCTGTCCTTGCCTGTACTGTTGTTCTGGTCATTCTGCTAAAAATGCTGTAAAACAAAGCTTAAAAAAAAGTTGTTTCTGATGGCATTAATAAGGATTTCGTTTTCTCTCACACACCACGCACTTCAGTTTCTCATATACAACATGACAAAAAAAAATAAATACAGGTATTTGCATTTCAAATGTTATTTTTATTTCAATTTACCAAAGGATGTACCAGCATCAAATATGGTTACATGCCACCCTGTTTACAAGATTTATGAATAATTGCATTTAGACTTATAGAGGAAGTACTGTAACATTATTTAGGATTATCTGCAGTATGCCTATTTAGCAAGAAATTCTTTGACATCTGCATTTAATGACTTCATATAAATAATTTAAATAAACATAAAAGAAAAGTTGAGGTTGCAATTTTTAAGGAAAATGCAAAATTTAGGCAGCTTCCTCCTCTTCTTCCTCTTCCTCAAATTCACCTTCCTCTTCAGCAGTAGCGTCTTGATATTGTTGGTATTCAGACACAAGATCATTCATGTTGCTTTCAGCTTCTGTGAATTCCATCTCGTCCATGCCTTCACCAGTATACCAATGCAAGAAAGCCTTGCGTCTTATACACATCTAGATGTGTATAAGAGACAGGACCTAGGCCTAGTAGGAGGGGCCTAGGTAGGAGGAACTCAGTCTGTAGTTAGGCCTATAGTTTATCCTCTTTCTCTCTAGCCTTTGGTATTACTGTACAGATCTACACTTTATAAAAGGGGGTACTAGCTGTTGTTGTTGTGTTGTTGATATTATACTAACATGTAATAACATCCAAGAAGGTCACAGTTATAGTTACACACGTACATCCCATAAATCCGTAAGATATCACAGACCTACCGTAGGTAAACATAGAAAGAACAATAATAGTAAAACTCGAGCGTCTCATTGTCAATACAGTATGTTTCATCTGTGTTTTCAACAAGCTGATGTACTGATAGGGTAGCATTGTATGGTTCAACCACAGTGTCTGAAACTTTGGGAGATGGCACAACGCTGAATGTGTTCATAATTCTGTCTGGGTATTCTTCACGGATTTTGCTGATGAGGAGCGTTCCCATACCAGAGCCGGTACCACCACCAAGGGAATGTGTAAGTTGGAAACCTTGTAAACAGTCGCAGCTCTCTGCTTCTTTGCGGACAACATCAAGGACAGAGTCTACAAGCTCAGCTCCTTCTGTGTAATGGCCCTTAGCCCAGTTGTTTCCAGCTCCACTCTGTCCAAAGACAAAGTTGTCTGGTCTAAAGATTTGTCCAAATGGGCCAGATCTGACAGAGTCCATGGTACCTGGCTCAAGATCAACAAGCACAGCACGTGGGACGTACTTGCCGCCAGTGGCTTCATTGTAGTAGACATTGATTCTTTCAAGTTGAAGATCTGAGTCTCCATGATATGTACCGGTGGGGTCAATACCGTGTTCATCAGAGATCACTTCCCAGAACTATGAAAAGAATTATAAAGAATGTATTATAATTTATGCAACTGGCAGATATTTTTACAACACACAAACTGATCCTTGATTGGTAAATTTATCATGCGACATTCCGTATTTACACCATTAATCAAAATAATCATTTTATTATTTGCAGCATTCATGTAATTTAGATTAATTTTAACATGTTTGCACTACCAATTCATTTTTGTCTCATTATTCATGCCTCGATATATTTCTTTTAAAATATGTTTTAGATTGACTGTTCTATTTTGAAGAAAGGTGGGCCACTTTTTCATAAATTATCGAATGGAAAGAATGATTTTAGTTATAAAACATGTGATTTTTGTATTTGAACAATTAAAATTATTGTTCACATTGTAGTCATTAATATTTATTATTCATTATAAATGATACATGGTGAATACACTATTTATGACATGCAAAACCTTTTTAATTGACTAGTAATAAGTTTTAATTATTGTAGTAAAAAAATTGGGGAAAGTTGGATTGTTCCCCTCTTTTTTCAAGTTATCTTTTTTTAAATCCCCAGATATTGACAGATAAGCTTCAGAAATGAGTTCAATTACGAATTTACCCTTACAGAAATGTAATTATACTACACTAGCTATACTGCAAGTGGTCATTCAACATAATCGATGCTGTCTATCAATTGTCATTCAAATTTAATTGAAGCTCTCCTGCTGCAACTATTGATTTCTTATGTCACTTTTTAACAAAAAACACTGTCGCCATGGAATCAAAATACCGATAACCCTGGATCCTATGTATTCACTAAACAAATATTAAAGGCTCACTCATAGACCTAACCATTAAACTCTAACGTTAATACAGCAGATACAGTTTTATTTTGGATGTACTGTAACCGTTCCCGCGACAGATCTTTAAATATTGAAATTTGAATATTGTAACCGTTATATCGATGACTCACTATTACGCGGTCATGCAATCGCAACGATCTCATTTAAATTAATGGAATTTTAACATGGTTTCACTGGGTTAGACCAGGCGATAGAACAATATAGATGTCTGTTTACAGTACGGTATTATGTGAAATAATTAGTTATTTAACTATTCAGGCCTGGGATTTTAGTACGGAAACGCAAATGACTCCGACCTCTGAGTTTTTGGGTTTAAAAAAAAAATTGAATACTTGAGAATTTAGACTTGTGTCCAGGACCAAGAAGCACAGCATAATTCAGATTAAAAATGTGAAATCGTTTCTACTTAAAAAAAAAATATTCTTCTTGCATATCAAGAAGTGACGCGATGGGCATACAGTCCGTTAATTAATGAGTAAAGACAAGGTTAAGAACAAGCACGATAAAAGCATTCCCGGTTTGGCGAAGACACACATGGTCTTACTATGCATGAACTCCGGCCGGGTCAACCATATGAAATGAGATATTTTCATTAACTCAAATTGACTATTTGAATATTATAAATTACGATTGAAAATGAGCATACCTTAGCACCAATCTGGTTGCCGCATTGGCCAGCTTGAAGATGTACAATTTCACGCATTATTGTATAAAATGTTAACACTAAATTCAAAAGCTAAAGCTTTAGCAACTTCTCCCAACCGTCGTGGTGTAAAGCAGCAACTCAAATGGCGTGGTCTGTGTTTTATGGTAGAGTAGAGACTTTTTACATCAGACTGGATTATAATCGGGAACGTTTACTGCCCTCCGCCAACGTGAATAGTTACCATAGTAGGAACTACTTTTCACAGGATCAGCTCAACAAATTCCCATCTGAATGTTCGTCTTCGAATGTCTAATATTTTTTTTTAACATTTTTTTTTTAAA